CTTGCTTCCCCAAAGCTGTTCTTATCCAGCCTCGGTGTCATCCACAACCCGAACGGGATTCAACCTCGTGTACCACTCACCTGCATGGCCACAGTTGCCAACGGGTTACGGGGTAAATACGACATTTAAGGCAAGCCGGGCCATTCCCAATTAACATTTTTCTAGTGGGATTTCGATTAGGCAAACCTGTATTTACCATTGCAATAGACGACGTTACATAATTTCGATATCAATACTTATTAGATGGTAATCTTATCAAACTTGATCACATAAAGTACGACCTACTCACACCTCGAGTGAACTAGAGTTTTCGAGACTACCGGTGGTTCTGATATAAAAGCTGTATTCACTCTATTTCGTTCAAGGTGATAATGGCCTTACTTCCAAAAGGGTATTCTCATCCCGATGGTACTGGACTGTAATTTTGACGCCGCCTGAACTGGTCGCATCAGCAAACCCAGCAGGACTCAAACCCGGGTAGTGCAACGTATGGTCTCTACAGCTATTTTATTTAGTCAAAAACTGCCAATTGTATCTAAAACAATTCACAATTATGCTGTGCTCTTAGTCATACAAGATGCCAGATCATGAAGTTTTCCAAAGCCTCCTAAATACAGCATACTTGGGTTGATGTCATCTATCCTACTCCATGCAAGCTCTGTTTGTTGCGTTCTACCGTGTGTGAATGTAAAATGTGTCTTCATTTCACTGCTCTTCTGCAGAATTAGAGGTTTGGTTAAAACACCTTTTATTCTATATCACTAAGCCTAAAACTGATCAGTGGCGTAAGAATTTTTTTTTAATTTTTCACACGATGTCAATGAATTTGACGTAATTATGCCTCTCAAATAAGGTTTTCTCATCTAAACCAGACTGCCGTTTTGACAGTCAGGGCTTCCGGTAATTAGCAAAACATTTTTCTCTTTCAAGGCAAGCCAGGCCTAGCCAAAGTGATAACAAATTTCAGAGTCCGTGTTCCAATTCCACTAAGGACGAGGATAAAACGAAGCTGAGGTCGAATCTTTAGTCCCAACAAGCTACAAAACATTTTTTGGTATACAGGGCTCTAAAGTCCCAGTAAATATATTCAAATAAAGCAGATTTCGAAGCTATTCATAAATCATGAATAAGATTCACAGACACCACAAGTCACATAAGCAATAATATGCAGAGATCTTGTCTCCATCGAAGTTACAAATAGATACTCTCATCCTGGCTGGACTGCAGTCTCCGTCTCTTATAGGCCTCACTAACCCTCCAATTGCGAAGGGCACTCGGGTTTTAGCGTAATTTCGACATGTTGTCGTGAGGGTTCCTTGATCACATCCCGCTTTTTTAGTTGAATTGTCATCGAGACAAATCGACTACATTACTTTGATTCGTATAGAGTATGTTTCTAAATTATTGGTAAAATTTGGTTAACAGTTTCAGACTTACTCAATTTATCGTGACAAAATTCTACTATCCGTCTTGTCGTCAGACTTCCGTTTCAAGACAATCAGTCATCAAACAAATTCTCACTTTTGAAATCACTTGAAGCCTTTGTAAAAATTTCTTTAGAATAGATTTTGCAGAAGTCGTTACCACTAAGCTGGCAAATATATATGTAAATATTTATTTCCCAAATGTTCCCCTTACACTTTTATGATGAAATATTACTGCTTTTCCAGCCTAATTTATAAATTTATTCATATAAATAAACTAGTGTTTTGTATATGATATAATTTGTAGATACTAATCTATATGGTTAAGTCTAGCTAGTTCTAGCACCAAATAGCCGTCAATGGTTGCCAAGGTGAAATGTCGGCTTACCTCTGGTCTTGCAGCTTTTTGTATTGCCTTCGCATGAGATAGCCTCTGATCTGCGCCTGGAATAAGGAGATGAGGCTGTTGAGCTTTTCATCACGCATGTCTTCTAGAACGGCCAGGGTGCCGGCTTTGAAGAAAATCTTCGTGTTTCCGCATTGGTAAGCAGTCGGGTCTAGCGCAGTGGCGCCCAGGATCTTCTCGGTTACGTGTTTTCCGTCCACAAAACCGTCTGGAATGACGTTGGGAGCCAGGATGGAGTAGCTGTCGCCGGTGATGGTAAATGATAAAATCATGATATAATTACTTCTCCGATATTATCATCATCGTAGACAGCAAATAGGGTTGCATAATGTTGTGTCAATGACCTACCGTTGCTTGAATTCTGAGTAGATCATTCTGTTGGGGAAGCCTTTACGACAAATACGAATACCTTCCAGCACACCGTTGCAGCGAAGTTGATGCAGCACAAGTTGAGCGTCAACAACACCTGGACAAAAGTTCAAGATGGAAATAAACATAATATTAAAATAATTGGTGCAAAATCTCATTCAATCACGATACATGTTTTTCGCTGTTTTTTGTTGTTATGTGACATTTTCTCTTATCTGCATAAGATTAACTCCATTATACTATAACATGTGGTACATTATGATAAACTTTATTCAACTATATTTCACTATACAATAATGCACAACTATGTACCATTTAGTTAGATCGTATGATATAATATCATATATATATATATATCATATATATATATATAATATTGATAGACTATATAACCATATAGTAGATTATAATATATATTT